GAAAACTGTCGTAAAAAATAGAAAATCAAATTTATCAAAAGCTCTGGAAAACTTAAAAGTTGAAAATCGTTTGATAAATTAGGTCAACAAATGAAATATATATGCAGCCAAGGCAAACAGATCTATTTGACAAATGGAGCGAGCAACAATATAGAAAAATAAACAATTTAGAACTTTTTGATTAGGATTTAACTGCATCTGGGCTGGAGATATTCGCCCGCCTGCAACCAAAGCCAAATCCCATTTGCGTCGCTTTGACATATTTTATTTTTATGCATCTGCTCAACTGTCTGGCTGGCTGGATGGCTGGCTCTTAGCTCTTAGCTGAGAGACGGGCCAGAGACTCTATTTTCAACCTCGTGGATGCCACGCTGGCAGTTCCCGCTAATTTGTAGCCAACGTCTATATAGAGATTGAGGCAGAGGCATGCGGCAGAGGTGCAGCAGCAGGTTTAAAATTCTTGGGGCGTACTCCACAAAGCGGAAGCCAAAGAGAAACCAAAAAAAAAAAAGAGAGAAGAAAAAAAAATAAACCTGACCGACTACTTTCCTGAATGAATAATGAGGCAGGCTCTTCTACAATTGCCGCTGGCGAAAAATTCCGAGCTCGACAGTGTCAACACTTTAAGTAGTCGAAACGGTTAACTAAAGTACTTTATATATATTGGTATTCTAGTAGTTTATTATTTTAGATGTTCATAAAGGCCTTAATGCTTAGCTTCGCCTCAGATATGTATTATAAAATCAAGTAATATTGAAACCTTAAAATATGGAACTATTTTATAGACATTCATTTTATCTAATTTAATCCTATCAGATATATTGCACTGACTCTTCCTTTTTAATATTATAAATAGATCAAGTTATTATTTTTTAAATTCATAATACACTTATATATTTATATCTATAATAATATATTTATATATTTAAATATTTATAATACATAGTTTATTTAGGCAAACCTTTTACTTATTATTTATTTTTTAATGCTTTTTAATAATGGTTCTTACACACTATTCTATTTTCTATTAAAGAATTAAATTAAATAAATATTTAGGCATATAGTGCCATCAAAAACACACTAAACAAATAGAATTTCAGAATGTAATTGAAACTTTAAGTGTCTGGTATACCTAGCAAAACTATAAAGCAGCTAAGATATCTTGAATTGCATAGCCAGCTCAATATACATATCTCTATAAAGTTATAAGATATCTTTAAACTGGAAACTTTTGATATATTTATATATGTATCTACATATATAGATCGTACTTAGTTTCAGTTAAGGCTGCAATTTGCCTCAGACATGTCTAAGTACCTGCATACGGTAAGAACACGTATGTAACTATTTAAGAAATAAAAGAAGCCTCACGATGCTGCGCTGCATACGTATTCATATAAAACGAAACACTCTTAAGGAAATGCTATAGTCCAGTCGACTTCCTATCTACCACGTACTTTTGTAACTCTTGTGATATTCATTGAAAACTACGAACCGCAACACCTGACAGAACAAAAGAGAAATAATACAATTATAAACAACAATGACAGTAAATAATGAGAAAGACCGCGACACCACCTGTGTAGAGGTATACAGATATCTCCAGAGTATGTCGGCGTGTGTGTGTTTTTATTTGCATTACGCTCAACACTCAAAATTATTTACTTAGGTAGAGCTGAGGCAGATCTCACAGAACTGTTGTCGTATTTGACATTAGTTATGTTCCATAGCTAATTACAAACACATTTTTCTATGCATTTCCAGTTTTAATTTTCCATTTCCACTGATGGTGCATTGAACCAGAGCAGGTGGTGCTGCCACCACCATTTGACCCACTTTGCAGCTGAATGCATTTCCATTACCAGAGTGCATTTCTAGGCAATTACAAATCAATTGAAGATGTCAGCGTCTTTAAGTATTGTCTAGACCTCGCTATCTTCTCTCTCTCTCTCTCTGTATCTCTCGTTTATTGACTGCTCTTCAAGCTGCTGACACGCTTTTTTCTCGGGGCGTTTTTTTTTTTCTTTTTTTTTGTATTTTTGGCAACAACAATAACAAATCTCTGGCACGAGTTCTTGCTTTGCCTTGTTTATAAACAAAAGCAAAAAAAGTTAAAAACAAAAATAAAATATTTTCAACTCGCTTGCCTTGAATCGCATCGAATTGAAGTTCAAAAGCGGCAAAATGTTTAATTATAATTTCAGCTGTGGTTTTTTTTTCTGTTATTTGGGTTTTTCTGCCTTTTTGTTATGCATTAGCTAATGCATTTGTTCACCTTATTTTTTGCAAATGAAAATAAATAAAATAATGACATTTATTGTTATTTGTTTACACAAACAAATTAACTTTAAGTTAAATAACTTGAATTCTCTTTTCTTGGAATTTTTTTATTGATGATCTAACTAACTAAAATACATTGTATAAACAAAGTATAAAATGTTGCTTATTAACTATTTTCACTAGATGTTAAATCAACATTTCTCAATCTTTATTTCATTCGTAATAAATATTAATATTACAGATTTTAAGAATATATATAAATATTATTATAAATAACAATTAATCATATTTTCCATAAATTATTTTTATTATAATTTCAACATGATATATCTTATATTTCTTCGCCTTTTCTACAGGGTATACATCTAAAACATATTTTTTTTTTTTTTTCAATTTTTCTTTTTTCGCAAAGCACTATTCAAAAATATCCCAGCTGACAGCGGGTCAAGCCCAAAGACAAAACTCAAATTGCAAATGCAGAATAACAAAAACATGAACAAGCCCCGTAAGACATAAGATAAACAACAATAACAGCAACAAAACGTGGCCAAGCCACATAACTGTGCCAAGGCCCGGCAAAAGCAGCAACAGCAACAACAACGAACCATTTTTGGGCAGCGCAGTATGCAAAGTGCACAGCAAAGCAGAACCGTTAGATCGCCCTCGCGTGCGAAAGAGATGCAAATAGAGAAGTTCACAGCCCAATGGTGGTGGTGGGGAGAGAAAGAGACGAGGGAGGCAGCTGTAATTTTAGAGCGCCAGCAACAACGTTAATAGGGGCCAAATGGACTTGAGGCAACATGAAAAACTATCAAATTACAATGGATAATGCGAATGCAGAAGAGGAAGCAGACAAAAAATGCGATGCAATGGAAACGCCAAATCGCAGAAGCGCAGCTGGCACTGCCACTGCCACTGCCGCTGCCGCTGCCACTGCGGCTGCTGCATCTTTGAGTGGGTTTCACATTACCGAAACGCAGCCTCAAGTGTCGCCAAGCCGTGTCCTACGCCTGTTCGTTTCCTGTTCCATGCCGCTGGGCAGGTTGTCACAACAACTACTACAACAGCAGCATTGAAACTCTCGCCAGCAGGCGGAAGTACTTGTACTTGGTCTTCGTGCCGCTGCTGCCTTACTCTCAATTCTTATCCTTTATCTCGCTCCCCACCCTCTGCTGCAGCAGTTGAGCTGCACTCACAGTAAATTAATTTTGAGGGAATCAAGCTAGTGACTTGAAGACATTCTGTAACTTTTATTTTATTTTTATTTATTTACTCTTATTTTTTATTTTTATTTAATTATTTTTAAATTTTTTTTTATTCTTTAATATTTTCTTTAGACAAATATGAATGATGGCTTTATTTGATTTTTTTAATTTTTCAGATGTTTGTTTTTATATTTTTTTATAGAGAAATATGCTTGACAGATTTATTAGCAATTTACACATAATTTTATTTTATTTATTTATTATTATTATTATTATTTTAATTTAATTTTTTTTTATAATTTTTTTACATTTTTTATTTTTATGATTTTATTTAATTTTTACTTTATTTTATTTCTGTATAGTTTATTATGAATCAATTATTATTAATATTCATATTTTTGTTTTTAATTTTATTTTTCTTTGCCTTGTTGTTATATTTATTTATTTTATTTTTATTCATTTATTATTTTTCTTTTTTTTTTGTGTTTATAATTTTCACACATATCTTATTTATATGTTTTCACTTTTATTTCACTTTTATATGCGTCACAGTTTTAACAGCATTTCACGCACTTAAACTAATCAAAGCCGCTGCGTTAATTTAAAACAGGGTATTCATAATAACTTCCTCAAAAGCAAAGACAGAAAAAGCCAAAGAGTCAAACCAAGCCGTAAAAAACAATAAACCATGCAAAAAGAGTCGATGTCGACGTCGACGCCAACGTTAGCGCCGGCGATAGCACCAACTGGCACAACATGGCTAACCCAACAATAATAACAACTACCAACTGCAATCAAATGGCAACAAAAACAAAAACATAAAGAAATAAAAAGAAGGCAAATGCGAATTTCGCATTTGTGCAAATGTTACAACTAATTTGTAGACAACAGAAACTAAAACTAATACAAGTCATTTGACTAATTGCGTGTACAACAAATGAAGGCAAATACTGAAAACGACTGCGCAATACTTTGTTTATAGCATTAGAGTTCAAAAATAAAAACTGCGATCTAGTGCAGCTAAAACTGTAACTTTAATAACAGTGAGACTCACATATAATATAACTTAAGACTTTCATGAGTAAATAATATAAAACCCATAAGCATTTTGCCAGCAGCGAATATACTCATTTTCTACTACTCATAGTGTATGCAAATAACAGTAAAAATAGATGCTCAGAGAAGCAATGCCGCCCCAACCGCTTACAGTTTGAGAATCAATAACAGTAACAGCATTGCGTGTAAAACAAAGTCATAATTCAAAAATGATAAATTATTAGCTTGTTAAATGGCATATAGAAATGTGTAATTAATTCGTATTTATTATAATAAATTTATTTATTTATACATAGAATTACTTGTGCTTTAGTATTTAGCTGCGGTTTGTGTGGTTTGACAACAAACAACTCTCAAACTTTTTAGCTCTGACTAACGAGATCTACCGCTAATAAGCGCCTAAATAGAACAGCCAACAAACCAGCTGCTGTCCCAAATTATGTAAAACATTAGACGCACCTGTTAAAACTGTTGTGCAAAATATTTGTTTAGTTATTTTCTTCTATGTGCTTAAAAAACAAAAACAACCGTTAGATGTAGCACAAGATGAAATGAAGTTTTTGAAGCATGCACTTCACACGCACACACGCATACACGGAGACAACGAAGAAGCAACAGTTAGATTTCTTGTACAATATTTGTTGCGCACCTCTCTTTGATCTGCTGTTTCTCTTACTGCTGCTGTTGATGCGTCCGACGGACTTCTGCAGAACAGGTAGTTGAGCAATTTTGTTTTTGCTTAGTTTTTAATAATTAATACGTTTTATTTGACGCAGCTTAGTTTTGGTGTGATTGTATTTGTTGCACTTTCACTTGGCGCGCGGTTCGGCCTGATATAAATCACTTTGCGGCTTTTTTATATGAATACGAGTTAGCACTTGGGTTTTGTATTTCTACGCGTGCGTAACGTTGGCAACGCATTTGCATAGCCTTTGGTATGTGATTTTCGTTACTTCGTACGTACAAACAGACAAAATATATGGAATTACGCACACAGACACATCAAACACCAAACACAGGTAACACAGGTTGAGGCAGAGACAGACTATGTATGCGGAACGTCGTTGTATTGCGAACGCGCGCACAACCGAACCGCACGAACTATAAAGGAAAAATACTGAAGAGGTTGAACAGAGTGCCCGCATTTGACAAGTACCGAAATACCATGACTATCGGCACTGCCGATAGCACTGTTTATTAACATTCATAATAACATAAGCAATGCTACCCATTTCGAGGCGCGCTGTTCCAAAATCAGGTATGTAAGCCATTTAGCATAAATAGATCACAATGTATTACAAGCGATTTTTGGGTTATCAGACTACACTAAAAACAATTGCAATTATACACCCAGTCTACTCTAATTAATTTTCTCCACCAAAGTCTCTGTTGTTGCTGTATCATCTTCTTCATCTTCATGATCTTCGACATTTGATTCAACCTCTTCCTCAGTGGAAGCACTCGTTGTCTTCGTCGCAGGGGTTCCACCACCCGTGCTATTGGTATTGGTCTCAGCCTTATTGTTGGACTTGCTCGTGGCATTGCTAGTGTTACTGCTGCTGCTGCTGTTGCTGTTGTTGCTACTGCTGCTGCTGCTGCTGCTGCTGCTGCTGCTTGCAATGCTTGTAGAAGGCGAACTGCACACAGCTGCCGTCGTTTGATTGTTGCGATTGTGGAGGGTCTTGGCTGCCACATTGACGACATTGGGATTTAGGCTGTTGAAGGAGGTGGACGCTGCCTTATAGAAAGCGCTGTTGGCCAGACTACTGATCGTCTCCTGCTGCTTGAACACCGCATTCACTTGGCTCGTCACGGAAGCCAAGGCACTGGGATTCGAATTGCCATACTTCAGGGCGGACATATTATTGACAGAGCCCAAAGCATTGGGCGCCACAAAGCCAAACGTATTGCGACGACCACCACGTTGATCGGCCCGAGCAGGAATGGCGGAGTTTAGGCTTACATTGGCATCGCGAAACCCAATTTTAGGCATATTGTAATTGTCCAGCTTAAAGGTGTGCCGTGACGGCGAACGGTTGAAGGATTTCTCCACACGCATCGTCTGGATGGGCACAACCGTATGACGAGATTTCCGCAGTCCCTGTTTGCCACCCATTTCTCCGCTGATCGCATCGCCAGCATCTCCACCCACGGCAGCGGCTCCACCACTATAGCCCGTCTCGGTTCGCTGGCTATCCGGACGTAGGACGCCCTTAACCAGACGCTGACTGGCCGTTATTCTTGAGTGATCCGGCAGAGGTGGCGCCACCAATACACTGGCCGGACTTACGCCCGAGATGCCCAATCCGAGGCGCTGCCGCACTTCCGCCATGGTCGTCTGCGCCATTTTGCGTGCCTTCTCCGAGCCCATTTCCAGCACATAGATGAGTTCGTTGCGGTTATTCAAATGCTTATTTATCATTTCTCGAATGGGGCGCAGATGCTCAATGACTGCTTCCGAAACACGCTCCTTATACTGCGCCGTATCCAACTGTTTGGCCTCCTCCACCACGGTGTCAATGCTCTGGCCTGTGACTTGGGCATGGATGTTCACAAGATTGCTAACACCCGGCCGCATGCCCGGATTGTACGAGATGTCCGAGGTGAAGTCTGTGAGGGCCTTTTTAATCTTCTCGATAATTTGCTCGGGTGAGTCGCTCAGATTGATGGTGCCTTTCGGATTTTGATCCGATTTGGACATCTTCTTCGACGGCTCACGCAAGGAAAGTATCCGTGAGCCATCGTTTTCCTCTATAATGGCATTGCATACCGGAAACATGTCGCCATACCGTGCATTAAAAGCGCGCGCCAGGTGCTGTGCCAATTGAATATGTTGCAATTGATCCGATCCAACGGGCACATGAGTGGCTCTATACAGATAAAATAAGTGAAGAGTTAGTTGACCGAGTTAGCTGACTGGCTAGGCTTACTTATATAGCATAATGTCGGCCGCCTGGAGTACCGGATAGACAAACAAACCCAGGGGTACATCGCGTACGGTTCGCGATTTCTCCTTGAATTGGGGCAGCTGAGCTAATCGCGGCATCGTGGTTAAGGAATTCAGTATCCAATTTAATTCGCTGTGCTCCATCACCGAAGACTGGACGAACAATGTTGTGTGGGAGGGATCGATGCCGCAGGCGAGCAGCGTGGCAGCCATCGTGAAAATATTATCACGCAATGTTGGTGGATTGTGCGGCATTGTTATTGAATGCATGTCCACAATGCTAATGGTAATATTTTCGCGTTTCTTCTGCAATTCCGTCCACTTCCGCACTGCGCCCAAATAGTTGCCCAAATGCATTGATCCTGTTGGCTGAATGCCACTAAAGATTTTCCTTGGCCAGCGATGGGAACTCTGTTAAAGTGGAGTGAGGGGTCGGTTAAAGCACTTCTATTACATCACAAAACATCAACAAAACTCAACACACGGTCGTTGTCTGGGTTGTTTCCTGATCGTTGGATTGCGTCTTTTTTTGCTTGCCAGATAAATTGAATTGTGCTTGTTGGGTTGCGGACATACGTTCTCTGGTTGTATTCTCCCATGCTTGCACTTTACTGGCATTTAATAACCTTTTGGCGAGAGACATTCGACGCTTCAGTTTGGAGACATGTATGGTGCGAGGTACGCATAATTTACAAACGCGAAACATTGCAACTGTTATTAATTTTGTTCTTTTGAGTTCGTTTGATTAAACTATAGAAAATTGGAAAACGAATTATTTGGCAATGTATAAAAGGAATCTGTAACCTAATTTTGACAACTCGTTCAAAATATTATATGATTAGTGTGACCATTGTTACTGTAAAATGTCATTTTTAAAATTACTATCGATGACGCCGTCCCATTTGAGTATTCATTTTGAAATTTAGCTGTCGAAATATAAAAATAGGGTAACTTATCCTCTATAATAAAAGCGTTGAGGATTTCATTTTAATTACTAAGTCGATGTTACTATAAACTATAAACTATGTTTGAAAATCTAATTAGCTTTCATTTATCGATATTATTTATTTTGAAATCTTGCCTTGTTATATTGCTCAGCTGTTTTTAAGCTAACATCGACATACAAAATTATCGATAGTAACTAACATATAGCGCGGGTTTTTTTATTTTATTTTAAACATACATTGTTAACTACATTGCATTGCAATTGGCAATATATATTGATCGGACATGTTTCGTTACAGTTGCACATTGAGAATTTTATATAAGTGGAGATATTAGCATTTCCAATTTCAAATCAGTACACTAAAATGGGGTTCTCATTAAAAGTTGATTGGCTTTCCAAAAGCGGCCGCAACATTTGCCTCGCGTAAAGCTTCAGCGCAAGTCTGCAAAGAGAACAAATTTCCATTACAATACACTTCTTACAGCGGGTCAATCTATTTTAGCTTACCGGATGTGCGTGACAGACACGGGCAATATCTTCCGCGGAAGCGCCATACTCCATGGCCAGTACGGCCTCATTGATCAGCTCGCCGGCACCCGGGCCAATGATGTGGGTGCCCAGAACGCGGTCCGTTGCCTTATCGGCGAGCACCTTGACGAAGCCATCGGTCTCATTGTTCGTCTTCGCACGCGAATTCGCCAGGAAGGGGAACTTGCCAATTTTATAGGCAACGCCCTCCTGCTTGAGCGCCTCCTCAGATTTGCCCACCCACGCCACCTCGGGATGTGTGTACACCACGCTGGGTACGCAGTTGTAATCAATGTGCACTGGTCCACCCTGAATGCCCTCGATTGTGATCAAGCCCTCATCCTCGGCCTTGTGGGCCAACATTGGGCCGTGAATGCAATCTCCGATGGCGTAGATGCTCGGTACCACCGTCTGGAACTTGGCATTGACGGGAATGCGACCACGATCGTCCTTCACAATACCTACAGCCTCCAATCCAAGCCCCTCAGTGTAAGGCCGGCGTCCCACACACACCAACAACGTGTCGCATTCGATCTGCTCCTTTTCACCCGATTTGGCGTTCTCCACGGAGACACTGACCGTGTTGCCGTTTCGAGTGGCGCCCATTACTTTGGTACCAAGCTTAAATTTGAGTCCCTGCTTGACGAGCACCTTCTGGAAGGTCTTGGACACCTCGTTATCGATGCCAACCCCACCGATGGTGTCCATGAACTCAATGGCAGTAACCTCAGCGCCCAGACGCGACCAAACAGAGCCCAGCTCCAGACCAATCACACCAGCGCCAATCACAACCATGCGCTTGGGCACCTGGGGCAGCTTCAAAGCGCCCGTGCTGCTCACAATGACCTCCTCATCGATCTGCAGAACACAAATATCTATTTTCATAATCGAATGGTTGAGATTAGAACATACTTACAGTAATGCCTGGGAAGGGAGTAACCTCCGAGCCGGTGGCGATCAATATGTTCTTGGTCTTAACGGTGTCCGTTGTGCCGTCGCTCTTGGCCACCTTCACTTCATTGGGGCTGACGATGCTGCCAAAGCCCGTGAGTTGTGTAACTTTGTTCTTCTTGAACAGCATTGCAATGCCTCCGGTTAAAGCTTTAACAGCATTTGTCTTCTGTCCCATCAGTTTCTCAAGATCAAGTGTGACGCTGCCACAGTTGATGCCTCGACTGGCCAAGTCTCCGGAGTGCGCCATGTGGTAATAGTGTGAATTGTTTAGTAAAGCCTTCGATGGAATGCAGCCAACATTCAGGCAGGTGCCACCGAGAGTGGGCTCCTTCTCCACGCTGACCGTCTTCATGCCCATCTGGGCCGCTTTGATGGCAGCAACATAGCCACCGGGTCCAGAGCCAATTACCACAATGTCCGCCTCATGTGTGGCCGAGTAGCAGCGGGAATTAAATGCCCCCAAAATGGCAGCATTAGTGCGCAGTGGTGTCTGTAATGAGGAACAGCGATTTAATCATAATGCTAATTGGCCACACTAGTTTCTAACTCATTTAATTTTTACAGTTTGTTGTGTTTACGCTAATCGCTGGCACTTAGCACAAACACGCCTTTTGATAATCATTTGGCTTTATCACAACTGTGTCAGCTGATAATTGGTCTAATATACGACCTTGACATTCGAATACGCACAGTTTGCGACGTCACTATGATCGACTACTAATGCATTTAATGCGAA